TTGTGGTTTCATTTTTATGTTTTAATGATTAATATTGAATTTTTTGCATGAACTGCACGATAAATGGATCAAAGGAGTATTCGTGTTCCTATTGTCATATTAGCTATATTTAATTGTATTTAATTGTATTTAATCGTATTTTAATTGTATATAATTGTATATAATTATATATAATTGATTAATGAAATCTATGTCAACATCAACCAGTTTTAATGCAACCAAGTTTTAATGCAAATGGGTAAAAAACGTGACTTTTTACTATTTATATTACGCATATACGTGTATGCTATATTTACTTATTTAATATCATAAGTTATAATTCCTTGCTTGTAAGAGTTTAATAAAGGTAGACCGACATTACGGACATTAGACAGTTTCAAGTTTTTTTTTTTAAAGAATAGTCTTATGATTAACAACGAGTAACCAAATAAAAACAAACCAGATCATGGCGACAGGAAAAACAAATAACCGTTTTAATTTAAATCGCGCTTCCCACATGATCTTTTAACGAGACATTTAAACATTAAAAAATTTACATTAAATTAGATAACATTTATAGAAAGATAAATAAAAAAAAAAAAAAGATAAGAAAAAGTTATTAGAACCATGCGAAACAAATTTGTTCTTAATAAAGATTAGTCATCAAATTTTATGCTTGGTCCGGCCATTTTGCCGGTTTTATCAATTCCAATGACACAGCAGATAATTGGTATTGCCTGCTAACAATTCATATATTCCCGATTTGAATAAGACCACTGTCGGTAAGATACCAATTAATATGCAAAAGAAATTATGTGACAGGTGAACAGGGATCCAAAAATTATGCTCATGTGTACATGCGATTGTAAGGTATAAGATGTATCGATCATGAAAATTCACAAGCTTGGCGCTATTGTGTTTCCCTTATGATAGTTACTAAGTTGGTGACTTGCAAAATTGATGACCTAAAATAATGATTTACACATATGATTATGAATTAGGAATTATTTCTTTCATGTTTTATTAAAAAAAAAATTTATTTTCAATTTAAGATTTAAACATAGTTATTAAATTAATAAATATTATTATATCTTACGTAATTATGATGTAAGTTTATGGTAACTTACGTAAGTTACATGACGTAATTTTAAATTTAATAACCCTGAAGGTCTTCATTGATAAATCATTGAAGTTCTTTACCAATTTTAGACCGTTAATTTATGGATTATACGAGACCTGTAAAGTCTCGAAAGTAACTTTTAGTACAACGGGGAAAGGTAGTTTCTGATAGAAGGATTCAAAACATCGTTCCATATATAGCCAAACATCACCAATTGCACCATTGACTAAAAAGACAATATAAATGTTATAGGCCGTTATAGGCATTTATAGCATTTATAGAGCATTTATTTAGAAAGTGTTATGATTTTGAGGCTGCATTTATGGAAGGTGCATTCTGAAATATTTATCTGTGCGAGTAATACAAAGCCAAAATGAGAAATATGGCGAAAAATAAAAAAAATTGAGTTAAAACATTAAAAATTAGAATGAAAATTAGGATGAAAATTAGGATTAAAGATTATATAAAATACGTTTTCAATTTTAATTAGTTTCACAAAGCTTATTAAACATTCGTTTTCTTATATGTCGGGTTGATCCGGGATAATCACAAAGTTACATATTTGCACTCTGATTTGATTGTACTTCTAGCAAAAAGGTTCAATTAAAAAGGTTCAATTAAAAAGATTCAATAAGATTCAATAAGGTTCAATAAGATTCAATAAGATTCAATTGATTCAATTACCAATTACACACGTGCAAAATCATGTGAGAACTTTTCAATTTATTTTTTTTTATTTTAACATTCTCTTTAAAGCTATAAAATTGACTTTATAAGCCTATGGTTCAAAATTGTTCAAAGTTAGCGCCTAAACTTTATATAATACTGTAATATGCAATCGGAAAAAATATTTGTTAAAGATTTGCAAGGATCAATTCGGGTTGTTATTCGATTTTGTTGAAAATGTTTAATTGCAAAGTGTCCAAAAAATTATATAATTTTTTGTAATTCACTTGAATAAGCCAATTCTCATTTTTTGAATAATATTACTATAGTTGACACAGAAAGAACGGATCTATGCGAAAATTTGCACTGCACAGAATAACTTAAAGAAAGTATATTCATTTATTTTTTAGTACTTGGTGAAACTTTGATCATCAATCTGTTGCCTAATATGTTATATTTTTACACTTCAGATGTACTGTAACGTATTATCGTTATGCAAAACAAATATTACTTTCTTAGCCTTGCGATAATTTGGATTTGACTCCGACTTTTCCAGATTTAAAACCTATGAAATGTCGTCATAACGATAAATGGGGTAACCACAACAAAAAAAATTCATTGCCAAGGAAATCTTGAGATATTTCAACTGTTTACTATAAGTAAACAAGAATATATGCTATGTACAATTTTATGAAACAAACTACTAAAAATCGTATACTGGCTTTTATGTACGTCCATGCTCGTAAGTGGCTCATACTCATACATAATATTTTATGATAATTAAGGAGCAATTGATTTCAACTTCCTAAACGTAGTTGCGCATTGGCCTTCTATAAATTTCCTTATTTGTAAACGTTTTAAGACTAAGTCTACTCCCCATACCATAATAGGGAAACAAATCCGGCATTAAAATATCCATTCGGTTTTTTAAAAATTTGGTGTATTATATGAAATGTCACCTCTAATTTAGGGGAATGTAAGGACTAATGTATGACCTTTGCACTAGGTAGTTAACGCTAATATATATATGTGCTAATTCGGTTATATATATTTCATACAAGAAAACGCACGTGAAACAATTTTTGAATAAATTTTCCGGAACTAAACCGGAGGATCCGGAATTAAGGTTTGATGAATGAATGCTGACTAATAATGTTATTGGTATTAAGCTTATTTGGAAAAAAACAATTAAATGCTCGTAACTTTTTTCAATCTATTCTACGAAAAAAAATTTCTCTGAAACACAAACAAATTACAAAGATTACTGTCGGTAATAATAAGTTACGCCAATATTTATCTTTTTATTTAATGTCACTAATGTTTGATACGCACAATGTTTAAAAGAAAATTTATTGCAGAAAAATATGATCTTTTTTTACACGAATTTAAATATATAGAAAAAGAAATATTTGTATCTATACATGTATTAATTTTAAATCGTATTTACAGAAATGTAACATGAGCAGAGCCAAGAAAAAGTTGCAGAGTATGTCGGCGTTATACGAAAGTATAACGCCCGAAATAAAACAATGTATTTTTTTTTCATTTTTTCAATAATTCTAAATCACACCAGTGATGCTCAACACCATATATATGTTTACACTAAAATTTAGGATAAAAATTTAGGATAAAATTTAGAATAAATTTTAGAATAATATTTAGAATAATATTTAGAAAAAAATTTAGAATAAAATTTAGGATGAGGGGTAGAAGTTAGAATAAGAGTTTTAGGGCGTTAGGTACTTTTGCTTAGATCATCATCATCATCATCATCATCAAGTGCTAATCACTTTAGTACTTGGATGGTTTTTGAGATATAGCAACTATGGTGTTAATAAAGCCCTTTTTTTCTTATTACTTGCGATAAAACTATTTTAGATCCAATGAACTTGATGAAAAAATTCCCACAGTTTACTAGCTTTATTAACATCAATTCGAAGTAGCTTTTGTGCATCACTTTTCTTGAATGGGAGTGCCTTTTGAGCGTATCTATGAGCTGCTGAAATGAGCGTATGCTTCCCATTAGAAAAACAGAGCCGATAAATAAAACAACGCCATCACATTGTCTTTCTAGATTTTCATTATCAAATGCTAAGT